ACTACTATATATATATATATATATATATATATATATAACCCCGCTTGACCCAACTGAAGCCGCGCAATCCCCAGACCAATGGTCAAACTCGACGTTTCGCTGTTGCGTTTCATGGAGGACGAGGACTTTCGCATTTTGACCGCGCTGGAGATGAGCATGCGGAACCACGACGTGGCGCCGACGGCCCTGGTTGAGCGCATCGCCCAACTCCCCCACGGGGGCTGCCGGAAGCGGCTGAAGGAGATGCTCAAACAAAAGATCATCCACCACGAGAACACAGCCTACGACGGCTACGCCATGAAGTACGCCGCGTACGACCTCCTCGCCCTGCGCACGTTGAGCAAACGCGGCACCTGCACCGGGGTCGGCCACCGCATCGGCTGCGGGAAGGAGTCCGACATTATTCTCGTCCGGGACGAAAACGCGGCGGAGTGCGTGCTCAAACTCCAGCGCCTGGGGCGATGCTCCTTTCGCAGCGTGATGCGTAATCGGGATTATAAAGGCCGGGGCCAGACGCGGCATGGGGAGAGTTGGTTTTACCTCTCCCGCCTGGCCAGCCAGAAGGAGTTTTCCTTTATGAAGGCCCTTTATGAGGAGGGCTTTCCCGTCCCCTGCCCGATCGATCAGAATCGACATGCGCTGCTGATGGGGCTGGTCCCGGGGACGCTGCTCAACAACGTCCTGCACCTCGGCGACCCCGCCATGGTCTATCGCCGTTGTTTAGATCTCATGGTGAAGTTGGGGGAGGCGGGCCTGATTCACGGTGACTTTAACGAGTTTAACCTCATGATCACGGATGATCAGCACGTCGTGATGATTGACTTTCCGCAGATGGTTTCGATTAATCATCCGAACGCGGCCGAGCTTTTCGATCGGGATGTGCAGAACCTCGCAAATTTCTTTCTACGTCGATTTAAGCTGAACGCGCAGTACTTCCCGTGTTTGGAAAAGGACGTCGTGCGAAAGGATAATCTCGACAAACGGGTACTCGCAAGCGGGCACTTCACGAAGACCGATCAGGAAGATTTAGAGCGCATGATGAAGGAAGCCTTTGCGCGGCATGAAAAGGAGGAGGATGCGGCGTCTTTGGATTCAAGTGAAAGCGAAATGTCCGTTTCGGTTGCTGACGAGGAAAAAGGAGACTATGGTAAGGCATTCTGTGAACGCGTTCAGATGGCCGCGGAGGTGTCTCCGTCTAGAGACGATATTCAGCGAAATAAGGATTTAAATGGCAGCGCTGAAGCGGTGAATCAAGAGGGCAGCTCATCCTCTATCAGTGGTGAGGAATTTGATAGGAATTCTCTCGATCTGGCAATGAATAGAAACCAATTAGATCGCGCATATAAGTCGCTTGGACATCATAATGGCGAAAACTTTTTGACTAATGGTAATATTAATGAGCACCATATTCAGGAGCAGGTTCGAAAGGATCTTCGTAGGCAGGATAACCGCAATTTCAATCGTGGATTGCGTAGAAATATCCAGAAGGGCCGTGATAAGCAAAAGATACGTCGCCAGGTGAAGAATGCCGGCGGAAACGGGTTTTTTGATTGAGCGGAAAGATTTAAGATGAAAAAACACGTGAGAATCCCCAGCTAAATATACGACGAAAAAATTTTCCATCAACTGCCTTTGGTTTTATATTTTAACCCATTACCCTAAGCTTGCACAGGTGGAGCGAGTAACATGCAAAAAGCATTGAAAGTAAGTTTAAGCTGCTAATCATTTTTTTATGATTGACTTAAAAGTCGTTGGATGATGTTAAGCAATTGATAAGATTTTCGGTTAATATTACCTGCACTAAGTTAAAGTTTTTTATAACCTACGTCATTCATATTTTCGACTGGATCTTTTATTCAGAATATTATGAATATAAAATTTCTTATGTTTTAAGGATCACCTCTCTTGTATAATAGTGTTCGCTATTCTCTTTATTTTTTTTCCGCTAGATTAAGAATTTAGTTGAGATATTTTCTACTATCGTACATATAACCCATTCTCCTAGTCGAGATATTCATTTCATTATTCTGGGGTTTCCAATATCTCAATCATTTATTATTTTCTAACTCGTCCGCTTTCAGCTCCATCTTGAGCCTACAGAGTTTATAAAATCCTAAGAGTCCGCTCGGTTTCCGCGCCAAACTCTTTTCGATTCCTCCTTTGCGCTCCCTCCCCCCACCCGCCATTCGCGAAATAGACTAATTTCAGGGCAACGCAGTTACGACAAACTGATTTTAGTTTGGTTATTTGTTCGGCCCGCAAACGCGATTTTGCACACGAACACACCGCTGTTATTGTCTGTTGCGCCTTCTCATCGGTGCGCTTGGTTTGGTATTGGGTGATCCGAAGGACACACACCCCATCCCAGCCCATTCCGTTCTTTAGTGTGGGGTCGCGGCGACAAAACCGACGAAAGGCGACCCTCCCCTCATGACTCGGCCTCTCCACGACGCGATGCAGGCGAAGACGTCCGAACTGCAGCTCTTTCGCAACATCACCAACCGCCTGGTGCGGGAGAATAAGGAGAACATCCCGCCGTGGTATACCCGCGGCCTCGATGGGGCCGCCGGGGGGAAGTCCCCCCAACCCACAGGGGAAGGGGACGGCGAGGAGGGGCCGCTCTTCCGGCGCTCCCTCAGCGGCGGCAAATCCTTCCGCATCTACCACGACGAGGACGACGGCGAGGAGGGGTGGCCGGGGCGGCCCCCGCGATGCGCGATGACGCCATCCTCCAAGACGGGCGTGCTGGGGTCGACTCCCGAAGCCGGCGGGGCCCTCCTCGTGACCCCCTGCCATCGCACGCCCGGGAATAACCGCCTCCCCGACGGCGGCCGCGCGGAGCGGTTGAGGACGGGCCGGGGCTCCTCCCCTCGCCGCCAACGCATGCGGGTGAACGCGTGCTTGTTCGGGAATGCCTTTAATAGCGTGATGATCGCCGCGCCGCCACTGCAGTTTTCCTCTCCACCAGAGGGCGATCCGCTCGCGCAAGTGAAGGAGCTAAGACTCCATGAATATGAGGATGGCGATGAGCATAGCTACCCCGCCGCCCTCCCTGAGGAACTTATGAACTTCCCTTTCCAGTATCTTGATGAGGAGGGGATGTCACTCTCGGGCGATACCTCCTTCCTCTCCACGGCGATCGGGATTGCTAATACGATGAAGGCGGATCGGACTAGAAATTCCGGCGATGAACCCTGTGCGAATTTGGCCTTGAATCCAACCCCCTCCAAGAGTTCCTTCTCCTTAGCTGAAAGCAACACCTCGGTTTCCCCGCTTGGGTGCGGGATTCGCGTATCGCCAGGAGGCTACCCGTTGGATACCACGATGATTACGGTCGAAAATATCCTTCAGGAGTGCGGCATGGTAGGAAAAGACCAGCCTGCGGTTACCGAGACTTTCAATACGATGGCGTCCGATTCCAGGGAGAGGGCGGAGTCCACCGTCGTGAGAACGCCCTTGGGGATGTTGGGTGAGCCTCCGTCGATGCCGCGCGATAGCGGGGGTCTTCGCAGCCACCCCAACCCCGACGCCCCGCCGCAATCGAGGAAAGGCTATTCCCCACCGCACGCGGTTTCCGCGACCCTAGGGGTCAGCAACCCCCTCGGCGAGCTATCGAACGAGGCGATTAACTGGGAGAATGGCGAGCGGCTTATCCCGCGCTCCGTCTTCGCGGAAAGCGACGACGACGAGGACCCCAACAGCCCCCTTAATCCCCACACCCGCCGCGGCTACTCCCCCGCGACGTCTGCGCAGGCGGGGGAGGCGCATGGGGCGCGTCCCCCCTCAGGCGTGGTGTACCGCCCCCCGGCGCTGCCGAGCGAGCGCGTGGCGAGCCCGTCGACCGGGCCG